TCCAGAATAGGAGTGCCACAAGGCCAGTTGTCTGTGTGCTTATGATCCCATATTGGTTCTTCCACCTCACCTTGGTGGAGACAGCAAGGGTGGTTTGTATTTTTCTGAGGTGGCTTATAAGACATGGGAAAATAAAACTTTATTGAGAGAACCTCAGATTATTAGGCCCTCAATGTCACATCTAAGTCAGGCAGCAAAAATAGAAAAAAAAAGTCCTACTAAGGTCTCTGGATAAGGCAACTTTACATCTTCCTCACACATTTTTTCTTTGTGTAAAAGGATATAAAATTATCTGAAAATGAATGACTAAGATCAAAAACACTGAAGACACCTTATGCTAGAGAGGATGTGGAGCTAGGGGAACTTTCCTCCACTGCTGGTGGGAATGCAAGCTTGTACAACCACTTTGGAAATCAATATGGCGCTTTTTTTGAAAATTTGGAATCCATCTCCCCCAAAATCCAGCTATACCACTCTTGAGCATATACCCAAGGAATACTCAACCACACCACAAGAGCACTTGTTCAGCTATGTTCATATCATCATTGTTTGTAATAGCCAGAACATGGAAACAACCTAGATGCCCTTCAACTCAAGAATGGATAAACAAAATGTGGTACATATACACAATGGAATACTACTCAGCAGAGAAAAACAATGACATCATGTGGTTTGCAGACAAATGGATGGATCTAGAAAAAAATCATCCTGAGTGAGGTAACCCAGACTCAGAAAGACAAACGTGGTATGTACTCACTCATAGGAGGATACTAGATGTGGAACAAGGATGACTGAACTGCTACTCACATCACCGGGGAGGCTACCTGGAAAACAGGACCCCAAGAAAGACACAGGGATAGCCCAATAACAGAGAAATGGAATGAGATCTACATGAACAGCCTGGACATGAGTGGGGGTAGTGAAGGGCGAGGGTCGAGGGAAAGAGAGCTTGGGGCAGCGGGAGATCCCAGCTGGATCAACAACAGAGAGGGAGAACAAGGAATAGGAGACCATGGTAAATGAAGACCACATGAGAATAGGAAGAAGCAAAGTGCTAGAGAGGCCCACAGAAATCCACAAAGATACCCCCACAACAGACTGCTGGCAATGGTCGAGATACACCCCAAACTGACCTACTCTGGTGATGGGATGGCCAAACACCCTAATTGTCATGCTAGAAACCCCATCCAACGACTGAGGGATCTGGATGCAGAGATCCATGACTAGGCCCCGGGTGGATCTCTGGGAGTCCAATTAGCGAGAATGAGGAGGGTTTATATGAGCGAGAATTGTTGAGACCAAGGTTGGATAAAGCACAGGGACAAATAGCCAAACGAATGGAAACGCATGAACTATGAACCAATGGCTGAGGGGTCACCAACTGGATCAGACCCTCTGAATGGGTGAGACAGTTGATTGGCTTGATCTGTTTGGGAGGCATCCAGGCAGTGGGACCAGGTCTTGTGCTCATTGCATGAGTTGGCTGTTTGAAACCTGGGGCCTATGCAGGATTGCTTGACTCGGCCTGGGAGGAGGGGACTGGACCTACCTGGACTGAGTTTACCAGGTTGATCTCAGTCTGTGGGGAAGGCTTTGCCCTGGAGGAGGTGGGAATGGGGGGGGATGCGTTGGGGGGAAGGTGAGGGGGACGGGAGGGGGGAGAACAAGGGAATCTGTGGCTGATATGTAGAACCGAATTGTATTGCAAAATAAAAATAAAAATAAATTTAAAAAAATTATCTGAAAATATTTTTCCTTCTATTAAAAAATTCTACTTTCCTTACCAATGCAACCTTGATGCAATCACCCTTTCTTTTCTTTTTTCAAAATTGTATTTTAAAATATTTATCTTTTTTCAATCTATTTCAGTCTTGCCCATACATATGTCAATGCATGATGTGTGTATCTGGTTCACTCATAGGACAGAAGAATGTACTGAATTCCTTTGAACTGGAGTTCCAGACAGTTGTGAACTGCCATATAAGTGCTGGGAACAAAACTCAGGTCTTCTATAAGGTAGCAACTGCTTATAATTCCTGGCCAGCTCACAAACTCCTTTTATTTTCTTAAAAAATGATCAGCTTATAATAGTTGTACCAATTTATAGGTTACAATGTGGTATTTTGATACATCTGTTCCTTGCCTATTACCCAAATCAAAAGGGAAAATAAAGATTTTTATGCGTTGCTTATAAGCAGTAAATACTAGAAACTCCACTCATGAAATTTGTTAAAGCTAATAAATGTAGAAGATGTGTAAGATAAAATGATGAACACAAGCTCAATTATGTTTCTTTTTATTAACAATGTACAATTCACATAGGAAATTAAGAAAGTAATCTCAATTATAATAACAATATAACAATAAAATACTTTGAATAAGCTGAATAAGAAGAAAGTACCTGCAAAATATACATCATGAAGCAAGATTAAAGTAAATTTAGAAAACAGGAAAACTAGAATACATATATGCATATATAGAATTGGAAGTCAGTTATAACAGGAACCTTGATAGAACAAGAAGATATCAAGAAAAACTTAATAGAAATGCTTCCTGAGATGGGAATAATCTGGGGATTTTATTTTGTATTTTATTTAAATATCAGAAGCATTACTTGTTCCTAAAATTTACAGTAGCACTTTTTATATATATTAAGCAAAAAAAAAATGGAAATGGATACTGAGAGAATAATCAGTTTATACCTGGGACAAACCCCCAAATAGACTATCCAATCCCACATGATCATATATATATGGCTCAGAGGTACATGCATAAAATAGGAGGAAGTTGGGTGCAAGGAAGAAGTTAACAAGGAAAAAGAAGGGGTAGAAATAATATAAAGACAGTAGTCATTTATGAAATTCTCAAAGAAACAAAAATAAAATTTACTCATATTTCACAAAAAGAACCAGAGATTTGAAAAAAGGACATGTGTCACACACAGGTAGGCTACCTTGTCCTCCCCTCCACTCTCTTCTACTCCAGTTCCCCTAATCTGACAGCTGTTTATCAGAGAGAACACACTTCATTCAGCCTTTTAAAATTCCTTTGAAACTCACCAGATCCTGGTCCTACTTGCTTCCAGGGAAACTTTAGCCAACATATGTGCTTCTGCTCTCTCTCCCCATTTTCATTCCAGCTACTCAAGCCACACACAACCTCCAATATTTAGAGAAATCCTGCATCCTGTGTACAGTCTGATGAGTCTTCTTGACTCTAGATCATTTGCACTATATCCAAATTCCAGGTCAACCCTTATCTTCACATCTGTATGCAGATACAACTTGATGATCCCAGGAACCTTATTTGCCCATGCCATCCCCAGTTCTCTTGCTTTATCCAGGCAACATAGTCTGAGGCATCCTAGAATCTCTCAGATCAGACACATAACCAACAAAAGAAGTCCACATGCTCAGAACTCATCATTAAAACACAGACAATGTGTAAGACCAAAACCATCTATATCCTCTAAAATTTCCTGGTCTTGTAGACTTGTATTCTATGAAAAATTACCTGAATGAACACCAGGACAAAGAAATTTAAAGGAAAATCATAAAACTTATGAAATGGTTCAAAGCATTTAAATAAGACATCAACAAACAGCTTAATGAACTTAGCAAGAATAGCAATAAATACCTCATAGATCTCCCAGAAAACCCTAACATATGCTTGAGTAAGATAACAAAGACAACCTGGGGGTTTGAGAACTGATTTCATTAAACAGATAGAATTACTGAGGAGAAGTAAAGCTGAAATGAAGATGGAATCGAAAAACTCAATGGAAACCTCAGAGTTGAGTATACAGTCATCATGAAGTTTTTGGCAATTTGCAGCTGCTGGGTGAGAGAGACAGTTCTCTCTAAAAAATGTAGCCACAAATAAGTTTACCACACCCGAGTGGAAGCCATATATTCAAGATTATATGGAATACACAAATTTGGTCTTGAAGTGAGAAATAAAACAAAGGGCACATAATTGGATGGGTAGGGAAGAAGAAATTTTAAAAAGCAGTGGTGAATATTATCTCAATACATTGTATGAAACACTCAAGAAACTAATAACATTTTTATAGAATATTTGAGAATTTAACTGTGGTATCTGTCTATTTATCATCTATCTATCTATCTACCTATCTATCATCTATCTATCTATCTATCTATCTATCTATCTATCTATCTATCTATCATCATCATCATCTGTCTTATCTATCTACTTATCTATCTATGGTCTGCCATCAACGCAGCTCTATTTTATGACTATCTTGAGAGGTGAACAAATGTTTATTCAACCCAGACAGAGCCCTAGTAAAAGACTGAAGAAGCAATTCCAAGTATAGCTTGCTGAACCCATGAGTTTAATGGTGACTGTAATTACACAAGTGTGTGTGAGTTATCTAAAGTAACATGGGTGTTGCTAAAACAGATTCACTTTTAGAAAGGCCACCCAACATGGGTAACCACTCAGAAAGAAATCTGAATCCCTAGAGGTCAATAAACAACTTACAAGAAGCTTGGGTTGAGAGTCTCTTCTTGCTAGCATTTTTTAACTGTTAGAGTTCTAAGGACCTGACTGTGTGAGTACTGTATCTTTATAAGATCTGGAGCTGTGCAAGTTTTGTTGTCATCCTAGGTCTTTTAAATTTTTTTGAGACATGAGCTTTTAATTTTTTTTATTTCTTAACTCTTATAGCCTCTCTCCTTTTCAAGGACCAGTGTTTCAATTCAGAGGAAATAGTTATAGAACAGCAGTTCACACACAGTGTGGTGTTATGTGGAGTACTGTAATATATAGGATTAGAATCTTTGATTTTTAAAACTAAAGGGCCTTATTTCCATAATAAAATAGCCAAAATTATCTGTGCCTAGTAAGAATAAAAAAGAATGAATAGAAAAACTTCATCTATGAAATATCTAGTAAGAGAAATTAAAGTAAAAAATAATGGTAACAAATATTTATAAACACCTACTTTGAAGTTTTATATCATTTTCAAGGACTTATACTTAATTGACTAATTGTAGTGAAGACAGTGCTTTTACAGCAACCTTCTTGAAGGCATTCTTTACCTCTTTGTTCCTCAGGCTGTAGACAAGAGGGTTTAGCATGGGGATGATCATTGTGTAGAACACAGAGGCTACCTTGTCAGTGTCCATGGAGTGACTAGTACTGGGTTGTAAGTACATGAATATTATTGTACCATAGAAGATGGAAACAGTGGTGAGGTGGGATGAACAGGTGGAAATGGCCTTCTTCCGACCCTCAGCAGAACGCATCCTCAGTATTGCAACAAAGATAAGTAGGTAGGAGCTTAAGATAACCAATAGAGTTAAAGTAACATTGAACCCTGCCAACATGAACAGTATAATTTCATTAATATATATATCAGAACAAGAAATAGCCAGCAATGGGGGAATATCACAGAAAAAGTGGTTAATCACATTGGAATGACAGAAGGAGAGGTGGAAAGTGAAGACAACATGAATGGAAGATTGTAAGAGTCCACTGATGTAAGAACCAGCAACAAGCAGGGTGCATTTTGTAGTTGTCATGGTGGTAGAGTAATGCAAGGGTTTACATACTGCTACATAACGATCAAAAGCCATTGAGGCAAGCAGGAAAACTTCAATAATTGCAAAGGCTATGAAGAAGAACATTTGGGCAGCACATTCATTGTACATGATCTTGTGTTCTGTGAGAAATCCTTCTATTACCTTGGGAGCGACAGCGGAGGCATAAACACAGTCTACCAGTGAGAGGTTACTGAGAAAAATGTACATGGGAGTGTGAAGTCGGGAGTCCAGGAGAATCAACATAATCATCCCAAGGTTCCCAAGCAGTGTTGTCAAATAAATAAGAGTGAAGATGATAAATAAAGGGACTTGCAACTCTGGGGCATCTGTTAACCCCAAAAGAATAAACTGAGTCATCTCTGAAGTATTCTGCATCTGTGTTATATGGGAATTATGATAGGCTCCTAGAATGAAAGGAGGAAATGAAAAATTACTCTACATAGACCTTACCATGAAATTTTACATATGACCAAGTTCTCTAACTAAAATGTGAGCATCATCTAGCATGAAGGAGCCTACACTGGATAGAAATCAGCTGAATTAAGTCACTTATCTGGGATTAGTACAAATGGAGACTGTTACTTCTTCACTATTAATAGAGTTTTTTTAAAATTATAAACCTAGGGTTTCTTACAGTTTCCTGGTATATGATCATATTTATATTAGTAACCCTCAAATGACTGATTTGCTATTTTCTACATCTTACAAACATACTTGTCTAAAATGTTCTAAAAGTTACTTGGCAGCAAGAGCAATGTAGGAACATACAATTAACTTTGCTATATTTTAGTAGCAAAACTTATCTAATATATTTCCTATCTCTGAAACTTGCACCAAGTTTAACTCACTAGCTGTAGCTATCTATGCAGTGATTTTAGGTGCTGCTCTATGGATACTCTGTTTTATCTCTAGTTTGCCAAGGTCTTCCCTTGGATTCTTCTCTTTGAACCATGGACCAGATGATAATGGTTTGGTATATGAGGCATATTCTTCGTGAGGTTTAGATATACAGAAACACATAGAAATCTAAGAGTGTAGTTTTTCAAAAAGTAAAAGCAATTTTAATTACTCTCTTTACATATAATGGACTTCATTTTTCACAGAGGCTAATATTTTCAATTGCTATCACACAAATCTGTTTTATTTGTGTTTAAGGAACAATAGATTACAAAGGAATTAAGAGTTACATTTTTGTCTCTATAGAATCTATGTTCTCAAACAACATGTATTTTATGGTGTATACTGTACCATTTCCAGGTGGATCAAGTAACACCTGACTATGTAGCTGCATCTTAACCTGAGAACTATTTTCAACTTTGGAATCTTGGGGATACCAATTCCTCTACATTAATAATCACTTATATTCAAGGCAACAGACAATGTAAATAATATTATTCTATTAGATGGCCATGGTGAAATTCATCCTTCTTCACAGGCTATATCTGCACTTACATTAGAAGGAATGTATAAGTTCTTTCAAGTTATAAAAAATTCTAACATTTTTAAGGCATGTAAATCATACCCAGTACCTTCCATGCTCTTTCTCATCTTTTCCTGGTTTCTTCAGAATGTTCAACTCACAGTACTAATGTCTAACAGTTGATGCTCCCAAGAAAAGGGACCTAGCAATTGACATGTCAAATGGATTTTGAAAGTCCTACAGCTTTCTGAAATTAAAAATGAGATATAATATGTATACTTCTAATCCCATAGAACATTATAAATATCAGAAAATTAGTGGTCTCCCTCTGGAGTGAAACTATCACCACAGGACCTAAAAGTCCTTAGAGTAGAAGGAAGTCTGGCTACCCTGCAGCAGCATAGTAATGCCAAGGGCAGTGGTCCAAGAGTGAAAAAATTATTAGTATTATTTTGTCTATGACTCAGCTGCTTCCCCTTTCTACACACTAAGTTGACTTTTTGTGAAACTTATGAGATAAAAGTGACTGGGTATTTTAACATCATTTACAGATCTAACTACCTATACATATATATTTGTTACTACTTACTGTTGTGCTAGGAACAGACCCCTAGAAGTATATAGGTGGCATGTGAAATATCTCATATGTATAGCATAGACCTAACATCCTTATCCAGGAAAGCACTTTGCTGTTCTCCTTCTTCACAGGTGCAGCTCTGCTGTGAAGTGGAAACTGGTCTTGTACTATTGCCAATAAGAAGGCAGAGAGCATAAGCAGTATATGTATCTCATGGGGAACTGTACACTTTGAGTGTCTCTGGGGACGTATGAACTTACATTGATTCTTCAGCCTGACCTTGATGGAGACAGCGGAATACAGTGTTTGTATTCTGTCTATCAGCACTTATGAAGATATTGGGTAATAGATGTTTAGAGGGAAGAGCCTCCATTTATTAATCACAGCTGCTCCACAACCAGATTGTACACACAAAAAATTGAAAGTCTCACTAAATTTTTACTTAAGCAACTTTAGTAACTTGTACAAGTGTTCTGATATTAGATCTTCTCAAACATTAAGAGATGGCCCTATGACAGTTTATTCTCTCATTTTAAGCATTGTAAAGGAGAGATGCATTCTTCTTATCATGACATATGCAATTTGGGTATGTATTTTTCTTTTTATATATTTAAAAATTTAAGATTTCCTTCATTCTCCTCCAGAGCCTACCCTTGCAAATGTCCCTCAAATCCCCACTGAGACTTTATGTGAAACTCTCCTGATATATCCTCTGTCCCACAACCAATGGCCTTGTCTAGTCTGACCAATCAAACCAGAACTGCAGCTGGCCTCTAGGCTTCCTATAGGACCCACCTTATTTGCAACTCCCACAGTTCACTTTCTGCATTTCATTCAATCACTCCACACACTAGATAACTCATTGTTTAGCCAGGTGAGTCTCCCTGTCCTTCCTCTTCACTCCTTCTCCATAAACCTCAACATCATGCCCGAGTCCTACCTATCTGGTATCCAAGCCTAGTTTGGCCTCCTCTGCCTGCAACACAAAACATCTGTAGAGTTTGCATAGGACACTCTCTAGCTAGCTATCCCCCAACCCACAAGATCCTCCTACATCATTTCTGACCTATATTCAGGTAAATCTACCTCCATACCCCAAGCTTGGACAATCAAGCAAATCCTGAACACCAGCTCAATTCCTTCTGTTCACCTGACTTCATTCCACCCAAACCATTTCCCTAAACCTGCACACACATCCTCCATTATTCCTCAACCTGCTCCATATAAAACTTAGAAATAACTAAAGAAATCCATATTTTCATATACCATTGCAAAAATATCAGAATGTGAAAGTTCATGCCAGTATCTTTTCTTCAAAACATCAGATCTGTGGAAATGTTTACCAATGGGAATTTCCTATATGAACATCATGATACAGAATTTAAAAGAATAATCACAAACTACATCAATGAATTCAAGGAGTTTAAAGAAGACACAAAGAAGCAGTTCAATTAAATTAAGAATAAATAACTTAAGGAGAATAAACATCTGAGTAATAAAACACAAACAGAAGGCTGATAGAAACGAAAAAGACAATCCAAGAATTGAGAATGGAATTCAATGTGGAGGTGGAGATAGAAACATTGAAGAAGATTAAAGCTAAAATGAAGATGGAATTGTAAGTCTAATAACTAAACTAGAAAAAGCAAAGAAATTTACTAGTGTAGCCTGAAGCCATTCTCTGTCCTGCAATCCCATAGCCATATATAAAATAATTACTCAGAGGCTTAATATTAATTATAAATTGTGTGTCCTATGGCTCAGGCTTATTGCTAGCTAGCTCTTACATCTTAAATTAACCTATTTTTATTAATCTGTATTTTGCCATGTGGCCACAGCATTATCAGTCTGTTGGCATCTTGCTGCTTGGGTGGCTGAATGGTGTCTGCCATGACTCCACCCTTCTCTCTGTATCTCTGCTTGGATTTCCCTCCCGGCTCTTATCCTATCATACCATAGGTCAAAGTAGCTTTATTTATTAACCCATGGGAGCAGCATATTCATAGTATGCAGAAAGACTATCCCACAGTATTTCCTCTTTTCTGTCTAATCAAAAAGGAAAGTTTTCATTTTAACATAGTAATATTACATATAACAAAACAGTTATCAAGTAAGAATTACAGTTACAATATTTAGTCTATGTGTATTTGACAAGATTAAGGAAAATATTCTGTCATCTATCCTATCTTTGTGAGCATAAAGTTTCATATCTAATTTATCTTTTATCATAATTAAAGAAAATTATAATTATAACCATCTAGTCTTCAACTCCATCAAAGAACCCAGAAGGATATAATATTACCTGAGTAAACAGGAAGTACACTGTAAGCGCTTCCAAACTTTAGAAATGACAAAAGATATCTGGTTGCCTGGACAGTCACCCAAAGTTCTTTTCTAACATTGGTGCATCCATCTTCAGCTTATAGGCCTAGAGTATCTGGAAGAATTTTCAGTGAAGCAGGAAATTTGAAGAATTGTCCCAACTATTTGGCAAAGTTTGTCAGTCACTTTCTTCTGTGTTCTGCAGTAAGTCTGGCAGTTTCTTCTGGGAAACAGGAACCTGAAGGATCATCCTGACTTGTTTTGGCAAAGTTCAGTAGTCACTTTCCTATGGGTCCTGTATGTTGAGTTTGTATAACATACTGTCAGGCAGTCCAGGCAAGGGCAGTTTCTTGGCCAAATGACTAGCCTTTGCCACATTGAAAGCAAATTCCATGAGTTTCTTAGATGCCCATCACCCTCTTTAAAGTAATTGGTGCTGCCAGCAGCCAACTTGTCTCACTGTCCAGAAAAGCCTAAGTTCTTAAAACATTTTAAATGCCATGTTCTGTAGGTCTTTGAAGTTTTTGAAGATTACCTACCAATCTAAAACATATCTCTGCATATCTAGAAAACCTGACTAACATGACTATAAATTTAACTATTGTTGATGACTACAAAGAGCACATGTAAAATTTCCTTGGCTTATTGCCAAGTGATAGAAAAATCTTTCTTCAAACCTTTGTTATTAACATGTTTTTAATGAAAATTTGAGGCTTCTAGCACATTTCCTCCCAGTAGCTGATTGATCAATTTCATCATTACCTTGTGCTAAAGTGCCTGGTAGACCTGTAAGGGATCTGAAATGTGTAATATACCATGGATAGTTTCTATTTCTGATTACATGTTGTCATTGAATAAATAACAAAGCTAATTTTGAATCATCTGGAATAAGTTCAGCAGTTTCAATGTGTAAACCAACTCTTCATGCATACTGAGTGTTTTACTATCATAAGATGTTTTGGAAAATCTAATAAGACCATGGAAAATCTAATAGTACCATGGAAATCACATATAATTCTGACATTTGAACCAATTATAAGCATTTAGAGACATTTTATT